CTCTCCCATGAGATTGTGAGCTTTTCCATGTCTGGCGTATATGGTAAGTGCTTAAGAAATGTTTGCTGAATGAGAGGTGTTTCTTGCCCCCTGGAAAATTATAGTCTGGTTGGAGGAAGCAAGACATATAAATAAAGGGGGAAAAAAAACCAATGCAAGGAATAGACTGGTTATATTAATTAGCATTTGTTGGCCCCTTTCCTGCTTCTAGGGTGTCTGTTCTGCCTTCCAAAGTCTCAAAGCACGAGAGTCTTTTGAGACTTCTATTTTACTTTTACTCACTCAGCCACCATGGCGCCTGATCTGGGTGTCTGCACACAGCAGGAGCCCAATGCTTGCCTGAGTGGACCAGAAGGTAGGAGGTTGCCTGTGGCTCAGAACAGAGCCACCCACCTCTGCCCCTAATATCCACAAGGATTAAGCTTGGGTTCTGTTATCAGAAGCTCCTAGGAAAGTGGATCTGAAGCTTCTTTTCTTGTTTGTTTGTTCTTGTTTTTTTTTTAGGAGCAAATCCTTGTTTCAGTTTAAATCTTAAATGGAAACAGCATAAATAAGCCAGCTCTCCCACCAAGGAGCCCTATAGGTGAGAGCTGGTGCTGCTCTGGTTGAATGCGGATATGGGGCCTAGAGCACCCTCTTTGGTGCCTCTCCTTATCCACGTACACCACCCCTGCAGCCCCTGAAGCACCTTTGTGGACCTAGGGGTCCACGAGACATGGTGTGAAAACTGATGTCCTGTGCCAACAACTGGGTGACTCGGGAACATCCCTCCACACCCCTGCACCCACCCCTCCATCTGCTTGCACCCTCCCTCAGGGACTTTAGGAGAAACAAATTAAAGTGACATAGATGAATCTGATATGGAGGGGGATAGCTTCCCTACACTCCTCTTAAACCCGTTGCTGTCGAGTCCATTCTGACTCATCATGACCCTATAGGACAGAGCAGAAATGCCCCATAGGGTTTCCAAGGAGTGGCTGGTGGATTCGAACTGCCAACCTTTTGGTTAGCAGCTGAGCTCTTAACCACGGTGCCACCAGGGCTCCCCACTCCTCTTAGATGGGGGGAAAAGGCACATGGATGGCAGAACCCTCCTCCCATCAAACAAGTGATCCTCACGTTAGTCCTGTGGAGGATGGAGAGAGAATTCAGAACGGAGATTTTCGTTGAGCCCTAACAGACCAGCTCCCACCCATTCACTCTCAGAGAGTTGAAAGAGCCCTGGCCTCAGCTCCAAGAGAGTTGCCATCTTGTGCTGGTTCCACAGCTAACTTTCGGGGTGACCTTGGACTAGCTGAAACCACCTCGGAGAACAATAGGTCTCGGGCCCACTTTTAAGAGTTATGTTGAGGGTCAAATAGGGCAGTCTTGCGCATTGCATACACTTAATGACAGTTGGCAGGATGAGTAGTAAATGCTGACTTTTCTACCATTTTTATTTTTTATTTTCTATTTTTTTTTCTACCATTTTTAGATGGTGTCTGGAGGTTTAGACGGTGATGGTGTTTGACACCGTCTAAAAACCCGTTGCCGTTGAGTCGACTCCAACTCATGGAAACCTCATGTGTGTCCGAGTAGAACTGCGCTCCTGAGGGTTTTCAATAGCTAATTTTTTGGAAGTGGATCCCCAGGTCTTTCTTCAGAGGTGCCTGTGGGTGGGCTTGAACCTACGACCTTTTGGTTAGCAGCTGACACATTAACTGTTTGCACCATCCAGGGCTCCAGACACCGTCTAGGGGATATATATTATATTATATGTTAATTCTATTATCCCCCTTATGATATGGGCACTCAAGGCACAGAGAAGTTGATTAACTTGCTCAAGGCCCCACCCTTGGAAGGTGGTCAGGTCAGATCCCAGTTCAGGTCTGGGTAACTTCCAGACCTGAGTTTTTCAGGGACACTATAAACAGCCTCTTTGTCATTTGTCCCATGTGGCTTGGCTGTGCATATTCCTTGTTATCATTTCCTGTTATGTCAGGGGGACCCCAGTGGGGTCTGTGGCAGTGTGCCTTTCTGTCTGTGGGCACCTGCTTGGCACCATGCTTGGTCCTGAGTTTGTGAGGATGTAGACTGTAGAGTCACATAAGGACTTGATTGCCGGCAAAGGAAGCTGGAGCAAAGTCAAGACTGTCTGAGACCATTCATCACGCCTGGGTGAGCACAATTTAAATCTGGAAACTTCTGCTCAGCTGGATTAGAGAACTCTAAATGGAAGTATTTAAGTGCTGCCTGAGGACCCTGGAGCTTCTCCCATGTGACAGTTCCAGATCTAAAGGAGGCAGATGTCCTTCCCTGGGTTAGGAGAAGGCGTGGGCACTGGACTGGTCTTGTTCTGGAGTGGCTGGACACTTGGCTCCTTCTGTCAGGGAGCGACTCAGTGTTAAGTTTTACTGTTGGGGGTGGGGTGGGGCAAGTAATCCCCCATATTATTACCTCTCTGGACAGCTGAGAGGGTGGAGACATTTGCCATTTAGTTGGACAAGTCCTCCAAAACCGTGTTTTTCCACACGAGGCAGTTTCTTCTCCCCTCACTGGATTATTTTGGTAATTACCTCAATTCTCTGCTTTACTTTGGCTGTGAAGACAAAGCCTTAATGAGCTGAGAACCCTCAGACAATCCCGACTCTGGGATGAAGCGGCCGGCAGTGGCTGTGGGAGAGGAATGCAGTATTAGGCTGTTCACGCTGCGTAACGAGCATGTCAAAGCCGCCAAGGAGACTGCGTTTGCAGTGAGGGAGGAGAGCAGAGGCCCTCCGACAGTGAGGGGGACGGGCTGCTTTCTGCCTTGGCTCTGAAGGCCTTTATTAAAAGCTTTGTTTTCCCCTTTGTCCTCCAGAAATAATGACCTTTGTGTGGCAACTTTTCGTAATATCTCATTTCCATGCCCAAAGCAGATTGCCCTGGTGATGTCTGAAGCCTTAGTGGGGGCTATTTGGGGAACCTGGGCGATATTTCTGGCG